TTGCTGAGGGTAAATATCCCCTTCAGATTCCACTAGCATTTTGCAGTTAATCAGTTAATCTTTTTGAGTCCTTCCCAGTCTAATCACATTTAGCTGAACATATCTGGTACCACCAGTGCCAGTCAGTTCACACCATTCTCTTGGCACATGCAACCTCCCCATCAACTAACCTTCATGAAGAAGCTTGAATACCTGAGAATCTAGTCTTAACAAAAGTCGCCATATATATTGCAATTGTCTTCTGCTCACTTTCTCCATATTTCCTGCAAAATTATGGCCAGCTTTGGATTAATTAGCATGACTAGGAAGAGTTGTGTCCTCCTTTAGGATAGTATTTTAGTGGGAGTGTGCATGAAACAAAATTCTTGAATAGTAAAAGTGTGAGATTGGCCATCAGAAGACCTGGGTTTTATTGCTTTTTGTGAGGTAACAGTGGCAAGTCACTTAATTCTTTTGTCTGAGGCTCTCAAATGCATTTGCCAGAGCCAGCTTGGTAAGGCTGAACCCCAAGGATAGCTTGCCATCCAGTGAAAACTTCAACCCCTATTTGGCTTCAGCTCCTGCACCTGCTACCTCTTTTAGGTAAGTATAAAAGGATCTTTAGAAGATGGATGGAAATCTGCATAAGCTTGTCAGAAGTCAAAGGCTGAGTAAAGAGGTAGGCTGAGGCTTAGGCAACAAATCTGGTGTGGCTGGCCAGAGGAGCGTGGCATCCTAAGCACAGGACCCTCAGCTTTGGAGGCATGGCACCGTTAGCTAGCAACTTTTCACAAAAAGCAAAGAGATTGAGTATAGCCTGGAGCTTAGGATGGTTATTGGAGAAGTTACGGTGAGTTGAAGTCCCTGCTGTCTGTGCAATAGAGATTTTGAATTAGAGGGAGTCTCCTGTATGCCAGCTGAGCTTCCCAATTTATCAAATAGAACCATGAACATACTTCCTCTGCTTTGGCTGTTGGGGTTTTTTGTTTGTTTGTTTGTTTTTACCTGAGTATCTTGCTGTTCTCTTTTTGTGTTGGCCAATACGCTGTCTTCTATCTCTGACAGTCCTAAGGTCCGAAGAGCACTCTCAATAAACCGGAGTCCCACCACAACAGAAAGAGCTCTGTCATTCCTTCACTTACTTCGATAATCTCACCCTAAGTTTTTCTCATTCAAGGAAGGGCTTGAAGCGGCATGTCAGTCCTGAGTATTTCTACCATTTGGTCTGCTTAAAAGCTGACAAGCAGAAACAGAGTTTTGCATGTGGCTAAGTGGCAGCTGTTTTGGTATTTTGGAAATATTGCTGATTCCTGAATTGTGAGCTTATATGCTTACAGTACCAGAGACGCATCTAAGCATCTTCCAGGATGCAGATCTACATGCACTGGATACCACTATTTTCTAAAATATTTTGAAATGTGTTGAAAGTATAGAACAAATCATTGAATCATGAAGGTTGGAAGGGACATCTGCATGTCACCCAGTCTGACCTCCTGATCCGGAGGTTGCTCAAGGCCCAGCTCAGTCACGTTATGAATATCTCCAAGGATGGATATTTCATAATCTCCCTGCACACTTGTACTGATTTTAGGCCACCTTCATGGTAAAATATTGTTTTCCTTCTATCTAATCAGAATTTCTTTTGTTCCAACTTCCATCCATTGCCTCTTGTCCTATTGCTGTATATTTTCAGGAAGACACTAGACTGTGCCTTCCCTATAACCTTCCATTAGATAGCTGAAGACAGCTATGAGACCTCCCCTTAGCCTTCTCCTCTTGAGGCTGAAAAAAAGAGTTACTCTCAGCCTCTCCTCGTGTACCAAGTTCTCCAGGCCCCTGACCTTGGTGGAGCACAGCTAGACTCATGCCAGTATGTCCGCATCTGTCTTGTAATAAGGAGTCCAAAACTGGACACAGCACCTCAGATGTGGTCTCACAAGTGCCAAATAGAGGGGAAGAACCACTTGCCTTTTTCTGCAAAGCTTCTTCCTAAGCAGTCATCCACGTCTATAATGCTGCACAAGGCTTTTCTCTCCCTTTTCATCTGCTTTTGTTGAACTTCATTATGTTCCTGTCAACCCATTTCCACAGCCTGGCCAGGTGCCTCAATACCAGCGCTGCCTTTTAGCATATGGGTCACTCTCCCCAGTTTGGTATTGTCAGCAAACTTGAAATATGCCATAAGGACTCACTGTTAATATTTGCAGGAAGCGAGAAGGTTAGTGAACAAAGACCTGACTTTACTCTGTTTATCAGCTCATTAGCATAATGTGGAGCAGCAATATTAGTCTACAGCCTTAGCCTGAACTGAAAAGGCCAATTACGACCGAAAACTGAAAAAAGGCAATTTTAGGAGAGAGCCTTTGGCAAAGAAACTTGTATTCTCAAATGTATTTAGATGAATAATCGTATTTTTTCTTGGCTTTCTTCCAGTAGTATTACAGACAATTCTTTTCCAGATGACTTTAAAATGATCTTTCCTTTAAAAAAATTATACATGTGTCTTTTCAAATCAAATAGCAACAATTCGAATTCCAACTTAAACTCCATTTGTGTTCATTTTTATCATTATGAAATATGGTGCATAACTTTAGTTACTATAGGATAGTATTTATTATTTTTGTAGACTTTGGAAAACAGAAAGTATCATGAATAAACTGTTAGCAGGGTCTATTTTTCATATTACATGCTTTTGCCACTACCTTGAAGAATGTTTGAGCCACATGTACTAAAACTCAATTAAAACGCATTTGAAAAATTCGAAGAACGCAGCAAGAAATTGCATAGCATACAAGATAATAGTTGGAAGGAAATACCTAAAAGCAGACTGAGGAAACCTATGTCAATCATCCTGATATATGCCTAATGCCAGAAATTAAGCAAGACTTCTGCTTAAATACCATTAAATGTTTTAAATTTGAATGTCCATTCAGCTAAACTTTCACACTTAAACAAAAAGGATAAAAATTGTTTCTATTATTCACATTGTTATTTTTTTTGTTGTGAATGGCATGAACAATAGCAGTGCCTATTATATGGTCTGTATTATTTGAAGCACAAGGACACCAAAGTCTATGTTTTTCCTCTGAACAATACATGTTGCTTAGGATGATGAGTATACCTATCAAGAATCAAAGCTAATTATTGCCTTACTCACAATGAAGCAGCACAATATCTTGTTTTGCTGGGGCTCCTGTGAAGAAAATGAGGAGAAGCTATGTGCTACGTCTAAGCTGCTCTGAAAACTCAGCCTGCAGAGTGGCCGTCAGGACAGCGCACTCCCTCTCTGCTCACGTTGACTGCAGACAGATTCCCCTAAATGGGAGATTCAGTACCTTTAGTCTAACTAGGAGATATATTGGGTTGCTTTTCATACTCTACAAGTAAATGCTGATAAAATGACTATTTTGTTAGTCTTTATATATATTTTCAAATTGAAACCGGATTAAAAAAAAAAAGAAGATGAAACTTACAGAATACATCTCCTCTAAGGCTTTGCTCATGGTCAATCTGATTCTCGAAATCTTCTTGCTCCTCTTCATCTGATTCTTCTGCTTCCTCTTCTGTAGTAGCTTCAGTTTCTTTCCCTTCCTCAGTGTAGCTTCCACCAAAATCAATACCACCTTCATAGTCTAATAACTGCAAGTGGGTCTTAGAAGCTGGTGTCACAGCTGCTTCTGGGATTGCATTCTTGATTGCTTCATGCTTTTTCACACTGTTTTTATGCGCAAGAAGTTTCTTAATTGTGTCCTTAGCTGTTCCAGGGATTCTTGGAATTTCCTTCACTGACTTTTCAGGGATAACTAGAACCAAGAAGAAGATACTAAATACTAATCTAGAGAATCACTCAGCAGTCACAACATTCATAAATGGCAACATGGTGTCCTTTACCATGTCCAGAGGCCCATACAGTCAAATTCTCTACTATTAGATGTAAGTTGACCTCTGCACAGAACTGCATATGCGTGTACTAGTTACACATGTATCTCTGTTGTACTGACAGCTGATCTGAGAAAGCCAAATTTTCCTGCAATTCCAAGGTGGACTAGAACATAAATGTAAAATTTCCGGAGATTTTTACTATTTTATGATTCCTCTTGGCTACAAAATACTAAAAGGATAACCAGCATTGTAGCATCTTGCAACTTTGGATTCTGCTCAGAAACACAAAGGCTGCCAGAAGTGAAAAACTGAAGATTGGGGTAAAAGTCAATTGAGTCAAACCTGTAAAACAAAAGAAGAAAACCCTGAATTTGAGGTTTTCCCTATTATGAAGTATAATGAAGTCAAATATCATAGAATCATAGAATGGTTTAGGCTGGAAGGGACTTAAAGATCATCTAGTTCCAACCACCCTGCCATGGGCAGGGACACCCTCCACTACACCAGGTTGCTCAAAGCCTCATCCAACCCGGCCTTGAACACTTCCAGGGATGGGGCATCTACAACTTCTCTAGGCAACCTGTTCCAGTGCTTCACCACTCTCATAATGAAGAATTTCTTCCTTATATCTAATCTAAATCTACTCTCTTCCAGTTTAAAACCATTACCCCCTCTATATCCAGGCACAAACATTCATTGGTAAGAGGACATTTTTACATTTACATGGCAGCTTTGATTTTCAAATCACACTTTCCTTGTCAATGTATTGAGTTTCAAGACAAAAGCCTTTTATTTCTTTTAAAATTATTTTTTTTTCTCTTTCTACAGTCATCAAACTATGTTTGAAGGCTTGAATGAGGGACATTTTTCATAGGAACCTATTTCAAGATGCATTTCTAGGGATGTGGGGAGGCAGGATCCATTTTCCACCAGTGGTGGGACCCAGTAGCAGCACAAAAGTCTCCTTTGAGACAGTATGTTGGCCAGCTGTTCTCTGTATTCTCTTAAGATAGGAAAATTATCAGTTTACATGAAATGATGAGAGGTTTCAGTTACACATTATTAGAAACTTGCTTACTGCCCTTTCCATAGGGTAGTAAAACACAGCAGCAGGCCAATCAGATTATTTGAACTGTATCACTAGAAGTTTTAAAAAATTGTTAGGCTACCATCTGTCATTAATATGCTGGCTGTGATCTACCTCAGAGCAAAGGAACAGACTAACTGATCTTTTTCAGTCCCTTCCAGACGTACTCTTCTGTCATCTGACAAAGACTGATGACTCTTTGTGCTGATGGCCAAGTCATAACTGAGGGTTAAAGCCGGGACCACTTCGGATCAGTTTGTTCAAGGTATGCGTACAGTACAAAGCTAATTCAAAGAAGAAATTATGGCAATACTGCAGGTGTTGCTTTTTATCAGCAATATGAGTTGCTGTTCAACACTGTGCCAAAACTACGTCTGGAAGGGTTTGTGTGACAAATATGCAAGTTTTAGAGATGATATAAATCTGAGGAGTTCTAGTTTATGAGATGATCCCATCCCACCATAAGGATTCCGCTATAGTTAATCAAGTTCCTACCTGTCATAGTACCAGAGCTACTGAGTAAGAGAGTGTCCTTGGGGTTGGACCTTGAGGCTTGAGACAATGAGGGTCTTGAATCAACCCAGGATTTCATGACTGCTATGACATGACCAGTCAGTATGCAATTATATACTCATCCTCTTAGTGCTGGCCACAGCCTGAATTTGTGTGAGCGAGGAAGAAGTGGTAAGCAGAATAGCACAACCATGTCATAAGCTACCAACAGCCTTCTGCAGTTTGAGTCCTTTATATGAAGTACTTAGGAAATATTGAGAGCTGAGCAGTTCCAGTGTGCTGTACAAAGGCCCTTCCACAGATGGAGACCATTTCCACCAATGGTCTCATATAACGCTTCCTATTTTTGATTCTCAATCAGTATTGATGCTGTAGTGCCTACAGTCTTTGGCGATTGCAGATGGTGGGAAATTCAGCTGGTTTTATTTCCCTCTGCTTTTGCTATCTAGTGATTGCATTATCAGGGCAAGAATATGTTCCCATTTTCCTCCTCACTTTGTAATAGTGAAGGCTTTATAGTAGTACTTTGGGACAGATGGACTAGACTTGTAACCTTGGGTGGTACTTTTTTTCTGTGTGTTTCTTTTCACAGAAACATAGAAGAAGAAAAAACCCTAGTTAATAAAATAGAACCATAGTCTAGTAGGAAAAGGCGAAAGTTCCCCAAATTTATATTCACTCCTAGAAAATACAATCCTATCACTGTGAATTCATCTGATTTTATTTATGGCAAATGCAACTACATGCTATGTAGTATCCCAGAAACAAAATCAGACTCCGTTAGTGTGCTCACTGGAGCATTCAGATTTTCTGAGACTGCAGTTGGAGGTACAAAGTAAATGGATGCCACTAAAAAAATAAATCAGAACTGAGGATTTTTTTTTCTTTTTCTTTGGACAAAACTTGTAGTCTTGCGTATCAGATACTTCCAAGTAAACTCATTACTAATACTTCACTAAGTGAGCCTTTCCTCTGGAGGATGATGTCATGAAGGATGTAAGGTTCTCTAGGTCTATACTCAGAATGCAGCAATAAAAATTAACAGGAAATCTTAATTCCAAACAAATTTCCTCTTGGCAATCAGTAACAAGAAACTTCAGGCTTTTAATAAAGAGGCTATGGAGATTTTCAAGCCAGGACTGACTGCTCAGCAAACTTGAACATCTGCTTTTAGTTTCTGCTTTGAAGTCTTCATAGTGAAATGAAAAATTCTTACAGCTCAACATAATAATCTTTGTGGTGTCAGAAAACCAATCTCCTTGTGTGTGCAAAACTAATCAGTGCAGAAAACCAATTGACAGGAGTGACAAAAATAGGGGGATGAAAGCACATAATCCCCATGTGCTTGCAGACTCCACTTTGCTGCTGCAATATAAAAATCCGCAGGCTCATAGGGACAAAGAGCGACTAGACACCAAATGTCATTTAGGATATGTCACTAGTATCCTTCTAATCAGCATTCAGCTTTTGAGTAGCTAGAAGTGTGGAATTAAGGCTTTTTATGTCTACCCATAAATTGTAAGGGGAATAATCCAGCATAAGGATAGACTACCTTAAACTCGGTCTGTTCTGTTGAATCCACTGCCTGTGGACTTGCCTGAATGAACAGCTCACAACCTCTGACAATCTGGGGTGCTACAGCTGAGGCAGTGATTTTTCCAGACCCCAAGACGTGTGTATAAATGCACAGGTGTTGCTCACAGACTTTTGTGCGTTTATCTACCCACATGACTGCATAATTTTGGAAAATGAAAAGAATTGTAGTGCATTTCATCCCAGCTCTTCTTTATGTACCTTTCAACAGGAAGCATGTAGATTAATGCCTCCTGCCCTTATACAGTTTGTGTTTATTGCCTTAGTATGAAAATATTGTTTTCTTTGAATTAGAGATAATTACAGCAAGAGATGGAAAAACAAAGGCAAATGGTGGCTGAAGGCTAAAAGTTAATCTTTTCTGTAATCAGTTGCTGTACAAGATTGTGAGACCACAGAAATGGCTTGGTGTAGGATGTCTAATGACCGTGTTGTGAAAGTTGAGTTGAAAAAAGTACAGAGAGAGCAGATGCCAACCCCTTGTCTCTGCGCTGCATTGTGTAAAGGGAAATACTCAGGGGATGATGCAGGAGAGGGATAGACAGTGATCCATTTTACTCCCACAGACCCTGTGACCACAGCCAGTGCTGGCTGGCGCTCTGGACATAAGGGGGCTGCAATAGGAGACAGCTTCCTCTGCACTCCAGTGGGCACTGCACTGCTTCTGCCTTCACTCCTAGCAATATATTTAAAAACCTGATGAGAGACAAGCCTAGGAGATTGGCTTACAAGTCCTTTTGTAGTTCCCTTTGTAGCTTCTGTATATAAAAGCTGGAAAGGAGATGAGGGATACAGACTTCCACTTACCATGTTGAGGAAGAGTCTGTAGATAAGAGTAAAGATTAGATCAGCAGGACACAATTTCAGAAATCATTCTAAAAGTTCTCAACCTCTTTTAGATAGTCTTAAGAGAGTCTGAAAGCTTTCATAGATAGGTTAAAACAGATTCTAGACTATTATTCTCTTTTATGCACCATGGAACATCATCTAGCAATATGTATTTCTAGCCTGTTTAGTTTCTAAAGTTTTTACCACCTTATTTAGGGAAGGATGCTTTGAGAAATCAGGGCAAGTTCATGGACCGTGCTTAATACATGACTAAACCAGCCAGCAATACTTCCAGAAGGAAATGTGGTATGACAAAAGCTTAAGTGTTATTCATTGAAGGATGACTGTGGTATTTGGCTCCATACTGAGTTGAATTTTAAGAATCTCACCGGTGATATGACCAGAATCACTTTTCAAGCTTCAAAATTTTGTGATGTTAAACCTAACTTTCTCAGGACTGGCAAGTTAATAAGAAAGCAAAATCATATGTGGGTTTTAGGGGTTACCCTACGAGCAAAAAAGGAACCTGAGTAATACAAGAGGGACAAAGGGAGCTGTCATGAGGCTCTCTTGCCATTTAGATATCCAGAAAAGCATAATGAAGAATAGTAACCTCTGCCTCCAGCTGGGCAATAAAAAGACTGCCATTGTTGTGCTTCTTAGTGACACCTGAAGGTTGTAGGCTTTAAGTTAGTATTGCTTTTTCCTGTTATTTTGTAGTTTTCCATCCAAAAAATTGGATTAAAAATAGTGGGTTTTGGTTTTTTTTCCCCTCAGGAATCTTAACTGCTTATGGAACCTTGTGAGACTCTATTCTTAAATAAAAGCTGAAATACACATAGAAGCATATGGTGAGGGAAATATGGTTTTTCAATGCACAATAGGAAATCAGGAAACATATGAACCTGAGAACAGCAACAGATTGCAGCAAGACAGAGGCCAGATGTGGAAATGGTGAGGATCCTTTTAGGGAGCATTTGAAAGGTTACACCTCTATGGATTCTCAAATGAAATATGTATTAGAGACAGTTCAGAAACAGCCTCCAACGTTTCATGCATATAGAGCATTGAATGGCAAAAGGGTGCCTGAACAATCACAGGTTGTATCCATACAAGCAGCACTGTTTGCAGCCTGATGTTTCAGCAGCTTTCTCCTAAGCTAGTATATTGACATACAAATTAAATGAAACAATATCCCTCATCTTCTGTGCAAAGCTGAATTTTGCATTACCTCTCTTATTGGGTTATTTGGTAGCATGAGGAGACGCAGCCATAGAAGTTTCATTGTAAACAATGTGCTTAGTTACTCTCATTTCATACTCAGAAAGTTAAGCTAAATATGAAAATATTTTTCACTTATTATAAAAAGCTAATACTGCTTCCATGGTAGCCAGTTTGCTATATACTAGAGACAATTGCTATAAAGAACTAATGGTTCTCTAGAGAAATGAGATTCCCACCCTGTGGGAATAATTATGTAGAGTATTGAAGGTGTATTTAAGAAGCCTTTCTTTTAGCTGCAGCACAACCCCAGGCCCATCTGTTGGGAGCTGGGATGGGCTGCAGGAGTTGCAGTTGCTGCCACCAAAAGAAATGTTCTGAATCCACAGCCTCCAGCCCCCAAATTTCCAGGATGGTGTTCTCATCCTGTTTTAACAGCAAAACTTCCTTCGAGTTCAGTAAAGCCAAAGGTTTTCCACAATTGCCATATGACATGGAGAACACTTAGTGTTTCAGTGTAGCTTGGTACATCTAATTGGTATTCATGTCACTGTTTGAAAAAAAACTTCCCCAATAGCAAAATGCATGCCTGTCCCCATCAGTTATGCTGATCTGACTTTTTTGAGGATTGCAGTAAAAACAACTACTGAAACATTGAAGGTTAAAAGAACCTTCTCCTCTTCCCTTAAAAAGAGGAGGTGTATGCATGGGAATTAGCACCAGAAAAAACAGCCTCTTTTTAGCACTACTGCTTTTCAGGTTTTACCTACCACTGACTCTGTATTTCTACCTCCCTTTCTTGTTGTATACATCATTCTAGCTAGACTATTGCCTTTTGACCTTCTGCCTATGGCTCTGATTTCTCTCATTACTGTGTGTTATTTCTCTATCCTCTCTCATATTAAATCTCTTTTCCATTTAGTGTGTTCTACTAAGTTTATGAATGCACAGCTCTTTCCTCTTCTAAACAACTAATGGACTTCAGTAATTGAATATACGACATGAGGAAGTATGCAGAGAGAGAGCAAACAATTTAACAGAAACACCAGCGAGAAGATAGAAATGGTCTATCTTCAGCACTGATTTTTTTTAGAGGACTAAACATTAAAAAAAGTGTCACAGCCTGTCCACAAACTAAATTACTTCATTTGTTCATATTTAAGTAAGCATTCCTGTTGAATCTTTTCTACTTGAGGAAAAAATATTTTATACATAGACTTGGTGAAAAAGAGATTTTCCTTTGAAATTTCAGCTTCTTGTTAAAAAGAAAAAAACAACAAAAAAATCCAGACCTTTTTGCTTGGGGATGTGTTTGGTTTACATTTCATCTGTGGTACACTTTGTTTTAATAGAACCATATCAAGATGTGTCATGTGACTTTGCTTTGATATTCAGTCAGGTCTGAAGCCCCATTGCATCCTTCTGTAGCAGTAAATTGCAGAGACATATCACAAGGGATGTGGTCTAGCAGGGAAACTGCCTCGTAATGTTGAATTTGAGCATAGAAACCCTTGTGAACAGCTCTGCTGAGGCAATCTGTGTTCAAACCAATCCTTTCAGTACCACTCAGGTTTTTCTCATTAAAAGTCAGTATTTTTCACTGGAAGTAGAAACATAACAAACTTTTAACCTAGAATCAATCTCTGTGCTTTTTTATTTTCCAAACTATAGTTTTAGCCCTACTAACGTATCGAGTTACTTTGGTTTTGTGTTTAACATATGTTAACATGCCCAGATTATATAGTTATAGGTACTATTAATAATTTCAGATTATAACAATAGGTTGAAAATTCTCCACTGGGTTTATCACTCACTCTACTTTTCACTGGAATATCCCATTTTTTTAGACCAGTATGGGGCTTGAAAAGCTACATTTGTGTAACTCCTAAAAAACATGTAACATTTAAATTCACGTTTCAATGCTGCACCAAAGGCATGACAATGCACAAGAGATATTACAACAAAACCACCATTCTTTAAATGAAGAATAAATTCACAAAACTTTTAAGCCTGGAGAAGTGCAATATATGTATTTTTATGAGTTTCAGCAGTATAGGGTAGGAGAAACAGCATCTATATACATACATATATATGCATAGATATATCATAGATATATATACACACACATATATGTATACATACAGTTTTAGCATAGCACTGTCAAGTTCTTAATCTATAAAACAATCTGGTTGAAATTAGATGGTTTGGGTTAATCCTGGCAGGGATCTTCATCATTTTTAGATATTAAGTACATTCTTGGAGTATAAAAATGTAAAACGTTGTAAAGTAACTCATACCTGAGATCCAAAGAGTACAAATGGCTTTGGAGTTGGGACCATTGATTTCAAATCAGTGCCCATACTGCGTGAATATATTTAACATTAAATGCAGAGAGGATAATGGTTGATAAACTATCACACAGATAAACCGCTAATCCTAATGCAGCAAGTGTCAATATTGATGCGACACTGGAGGTTTCCATTACTATTATAATGGGAGTAGGAACATGAATAATAGAGAGACTCATAGAATGTCTGTGACCATGAAGTATAATCATAATACCTGTCTGATTGAGGATTACTTGAAAAAGACCCAGGAAAAAGAGTTTATATACTATGTAGACTTCCTCTGCTATAGACAAGAGCTTTTAAAATGTTTTCACAACGTCTTTTGTTCAAAAAAATTTGAGCAGGACTTAGATGTCCTCCTGAGGAAAACATCTCTAATGACATTGCAGGAGAAATCTCTACCAGGTTTAATACAGGAATTAAATAAAAAGGTTCATTAGCTAGTGAAGTCCCTCAAGGCTCAGTACTGGGACCAGTATTGTTCAACATATTCATCAATGACTTGGATGAGGGAATAGAGTGCGTGGTCAGCAAGTTTGCTGATGACACTAAACTGGGAGGAGTGGCTGACACACCTGAAGGCTGTGCTGCCATTCAGAGAGACCTGGACAAGCTGGAGAGTTGAGCGGGGAGAAATTTAATGAAATACAGCAAGGGCAAGTGTAGAGTCTTGCATTTGGGTAAGAACAACCCCATGTACCAGTACAAGTTGGGGACTGAACTGTTGGGGAACAGCACAGGGGAAAGGGACCTGGGGGTTCTGGTGGACAGCAGGATGACCATGAGCCAGCAATGTGCCCTTGTGGCCAAGAAGGCCAATGGCATCCTGGGATGTATTAGAAGGGGTGTGGTTAGTAGGTCGAGAGAGGTTCTCCTCCCCCTCTACTCTGCCCTGGTAAGGCTGCATCTGGAATATTGTGTCCAGTTCTGGGCCCCTCAGTTCAAGAAGGACAAGGAACTGCTTGAGAGAGTCCAGCACGGTGCCACAAAGATGATGAAGGGAGTGGAGCAGCTCCCTTATGAGGAAAGGCTGAGGGAGCTGGGTCTCTTTAGCTTGGAGAAGAGAAGACTGAGGGGGGACCTCATTAATGTTTATAAATATGTAAAGGGTGACTGTCATGAGGATGGAGCCAGGCTCTTCTCAGTGACATCCAATGATAGGACAAGGGGAAATGGACATAAGCTGGAACATAGGAGGTTTTGCTTAAACATAAGGAAGAACTTCTTCCCAGTAAGGGTAACAGAACACTGGAACAGCCTGCCCAGAGAGGTTGTGGAGTCTCTTCCTCTGGAGATGTTCAAAACCTGCCTGGACGTGTTCTCGTGTGATCTGATCTAGGTGGTCCTGCTCCGGCAGGGGGATTGGACTAGATGATTCTTTGAGGTCCCTTCCAATCCCTAACATTCTGTGTGATTCTGTGATTCTGTGTTCATTTTAAATATAAACACAACAGCAACCTTTTCCTTCTTTCTTCTTGGAGACTCATATTCAGTTAGAACTGGGCAAAGACATCTTTATAGGAAGTCTTTAATATTTAATAGACAAACAAAGGTAAAATTAAAAGTGAAAGCAGTTTAGTATAGAAGTCATAGCTTTCCTCCCTTCTCTCACTTTTTCCTAAGTTAGCTTGACACTCTTCTGGAAGGGGCTGCACAGCCCTCCAGGAGGCTAGCCATGGGAGTTTGAGGAAAATATACAGTAGACATTTTAAAGCAATTTGCTCTGTTTCTTCAGGTCAAATTCTCTTCTCTGTTCTACTTGTGATTCCGGGTGATACTATGAGACTTGGGGACTCACAGGCAAAATGAATTTGAGCTAAAAATACTTGTATTGACTGTGCAATGACTCATATAATAAATATATTATTTAATGGAGAAGTTTGCCTTGCCTTGTTTGCTTTGGTTTGCTGCTGGTATTGCAGCACATTTCAGCACGATCTTTCCTAGAAACACTTTACAGCAATCAGTTATTGGAGAAAAACAATATAGCACCATTCCTGACATCCAGTGGTACTCACCAGTGCAATCAAATCCATTTCCTCGGTAGCCCTGTTTACATTTGCATTTGAAGGATCCTTCGGTGTTGAGGCACTCTGCATGGAGGTTACACCTGTGTGCATTTGTCACACATTCATTTACAT